ATTCTAAAGACTGGTGCGTTGCTTTGATATTTTACCTGCATTAACAAATGAAAACTGAGATAATGGCATTGATCTCTGATGAAATGTCCTTTTTTTTAAAGTGGCTTGCACATAAAAGAAAAGACTTCACAGCTTCATACACACCATCAATGTCTATCAATGTTGACCTTATGCATCCTTTAGAAAGGATTTTCATCCCGTGTTGAGAGAGGCCGAGCAAGGCAAAAAGAGACAGAATAAGAGCTTAATCTCCAAGCAATGTACACAAACACAGTGATAAAGGAGAGCAAAATGGACACAAACATTCGTATTAACATTAACATGAGTGATCCCATTTCTTATGTATTATTATTTGAATTTATCTTTGGAAACCCAAAGCAGGTTGATATCGGTCTGTTGGCTCGGTGCAATGTTTTCTCGGATACTGTAATGTTTATTTTTGCTCCAATATATCAGCACTTACTGTTGACAATTATAGTAGTGAGAAAAATATGGGTCAAAATCATCAAGCCGAAGGGGACATTCCTATCAGTGGTACATTATCATTGGACTAAGATAACCTATATAAAATTAAGCTTCAGTGAAAAGAGAGTCGACAGCCATGCTAGCAGGTCTGTGAGGCTGTACTTACAGTGGAGCTCTGAGCTAAAAGCTGCATGATCACAATAAATAGCCAATATGTTTATGCTTTGCAGCTGTAATGTTTACCATGTTCACTATCAGCACTAGATACAAAGAGCTCAGGCTGATGGGGAATCTAGTTTATTTAGAAGGTGTTTGATCAGAAACCAATTTTTTTTTCATTTGATGATAATGCTAGATGAAATATTTGGGCATCAATTCTTCCTAAAGGGACCATGAATGTCTATACCAAATTTCACGAAAATCCATGCAATTCTTGTCGAGATATTTCCATTAAATTGTCAAGTTGCTGGTGGCGCTAGAGGAAAAGTCAGGATCAAAGTCACTAGGATACATCGTCTGGGAACCATGAATGACTATCACATTTTTAGCCAATCCATGGAGTAGATGTTGAGATATCTTTCTATTTATTCTTTCTAATGATGCTGTTTTAAAGCTTTCACTGAGGTTAAACTGTACTGTACTCCTACATAGCACACCCGCAGGCTTTCTCTTGTCAGACGTTGATGAATGTTCGACAGGCGGAATTACTCCATCTGGAATGCTCTAAGACTAACACCTGTTAGGCTCTTCAACAAAAATGCAAATAATTACGTCAAGTGCCAAATAAATACATATTTCCCCATGCATTTATTATCCGTGTGCATCAAGTGTATATAGTTATGTAACTTGTATACGTTTGACCGAGCTAATTTTGGACCACAGAGTTCAAAATGCGACCTGTTCCTGAAACTTGGTGTATAATTCCTTGCATTCTGAACATTCCCTCCAAAACGTGCACATGAGCAACGTGTGACGGGCCCCCCCCACACACACTCTCTTTGACTCCACACTACAAATAGTGAAGTTAAATAAAGCCAGGGAAGAGCAGAAGCACATAACCGCGAACACCACTCATCCTGACATTCATGTCTGCCAGCAAAGCATTTTTTAAATATCTCGGGGATAATTCGGGTAATGCTTTTCAGTATTTGTTGTGCTCCTGGCAGGGAGTTACTGGGCTGGGTTAGACTGAGAGTGGGATTACAGGCAGACAGAGTGCTGAGAGATACCTGCAGATTCCCATAATCAGCCCTCTGAGAAGTGTGTCATCCCCTCTCGCCCAGATGTGATGACAAGTCAAACTTAACCACAAAGGAGAGTCTCACGTTGCCAGTCTTGACTTTCTCTTGCAAAGCTCGACACTAAAAGAGCAACCCCCCCCCCCCCACCAACTCAACCCTGTGAGTTTCCTGTGAGTTCGACTCAGCCTGCCACCTGAATTAATCCCTCACTGGTGGAGCAAAAGGGATTCGTGACATGCTTTGGCACAGCTGGGAGTGCTGGTTGGATAACAGGGCGTAACTGGAGGTAGAGTCGGGCGTCGATCGAACGTCAGAAGTCGAGGCCAGTCCGCCCTGCCCACATATTCCTCTCGGAGTCCTATTGTTCGGGTCCTAAGCTCGAGAATTCCTGTCGAGTCGGGGAGATTCCTCGCTGCGTATGGGGTATTATGTTAGCGCTAGCACTATTCAATACACTAATGAGTTGTGCCAAAACCTAATGTCTCAGGGGAGTTCCTTGCGTAGATGCTGCATAGTTTAGAAGGTAAGTGCCATTGTGTTTGGTCCCGGGCCCGTCTGCATGCCGTTGACCTCTTCAGTGTGCAGAGGGCCTCTCCTTTCTAGCAATGCTGCTGCGGAACTGAGAGCTTAATAAAGCGGCGGCTGGCTCGTGAAGTAAAGGGCATGGGATGAGTTTGAAGATAAGAGTGAAAGAGCCGCGTCGCAGAGGCAAACATGCAGCAGTCGTTTTGATAAAGGTGATCTGATAAAACCGTGGAGGCAGTGTTGTGGCTCCACCAAGTCCAGATGTGAAAGCTCTCTGCTCTGACGCCGCAGCCTCGGAGAAGCCAACATGGAGTGCGTTGGCCCGAGCTCCTCTGGGCTCTCCATCGTCTTTACACGGGGCTCCCCTCTGGCTGTAGTGATACAGATGTTTAATAAGTGGGGTAGAATAATAATGTCAGTGGAGGAAAGTACATTCAGTACAATTTGGTACCCTCCATCCTATCATCCAGCAATATTTTAGCTTTTTTTGTTTCTTATGTAGCAAAATGGGACTAAAACTGCAGATTGTTGCACAACCCTGTGTTGTGCAATGACAATAAATGAATCTTGGACCTACCTTGTACTTTAATATATGCCACTTTATACTTCTACTTCACTACATTTCAGACAGATAGGTTTTTTTTTTACTCAATTACAGTTATTTGACAGATTTAATTACTTTTCACATTCTGATTTTACATTAAAAAAAGCATATGATGAGCTTATAGAACAAGCATTTCATTATTTAAACTACTCAACAGTATGGAAACTACTTCCAGTTAGCACCGTTTTGATCAACTACAACATTAAAATGCTGCTTTGGTAACAATAATCCAATATATAATATGATCATTCTTCTGCAGAATGAGTGTTTTTTACATTTGATCCTTTACATGCACAGTATTTACTGTGGCATTGTCACCTTTTACTGAAGAATCTGAATACTTTTGGTCTCAAACATCATGCATCTTGTCCATAAACCTGAGAGAGAAATATATGTAGAGAGATGTTGTAATACAGCCTCTTTTAAAATGGAAAGCATCCCCTTTGTGGCTCAGTTTAACTTGTTATGTAACATGCTGTGGACCAGTCACTTTAAGCATTAGGCTGGCCTCTTGTCAACTCGATGTCCTTTAAAATCCCAAGAGACCGCAGATTTGCGTCCACGAACAGACGGTTTGTTTGGCTGCAAACACTCTACCTGCACGGTGGAGTAAATCCAGAACAGTTCTTGCGTGTCATCGTGACTTTTCTCTCTTTTGTCCTCTGCAGTCCTGACTGTCTTTTGTTTCTTAAGCAAAAAGTAGGTCTTGTCTGGACAATATGACCTCATTGTTATTATTATGATTGTCCTCTTTGCACGCAGGAGGACACGACTGATTTCTTTCAGTAAGCCGAGGCACAGACTCCACCGTGGATTTGTTTGCTAAATGGGCTGGATAGATAAGACTACTCCACCATTTGCATTGGATTGTTCACCGCTGCCAGATCAAGCAGCTCTGTGATGAGTGATGGGAGCGAGTTAAAGGCGCTCCCAATGTTTGAACGCAACCCAAGAACAACTTGTACGACATTCATATTTACAACGGAGAGGGGACACCCCCTTGCAAAGTTTTTAAAGTGCTTGTGACGGTAAAAACTTTTAAGAATACCTACTTAGATCGTTGGTCCTCAGAGAGTTTAAGTTAGGGGTTACTTTCTAATCCATGCTTACTGTGTGAGTCTTCAGAGGTTTTTGAGAGAAACGGCTTTGCTCTCCATGTTTGGTGGTAAAATTAACTTGTTCACATGGAGGACTGCATGATTGTCTATTGGTGAAGTAAATTCTCCATCTTGGGCTTTTTTAAAAACAGATTTTTCTTTTCTTCAAAAATGCACTTCTCTTAGTTCCTGCAAAGTTGGCATTTTCACAGTGCGAGGTTTTCTCTTTGACAGCAGCTAAATTAACCGGATGACGGATTTACTGAAATGCAATGAAAGTTGATTTATGAGCCGAGATCAAATTAACGATATCTGCGGAAGCTCCAGGAGGATCGGCTTAAGGAGAAAAACAGATGCAAAGGCCCCTGGAGGAGGAGGAGTGGTAAAGCGTGAATAAGGGACGGCAGCTGTAAACAGCGGCCTTTATCTGCAGTAATCGTCGGAGGTGAGCCGAGAGGCCAGGACAGGTGGTTAAGAACATAACACAAGAGTGACTCAGGCTTTGATGAATTATGCCGTGTCACTCATCGGGGAAATGCTTGAAAAGCTCAGGTTGAAGGGTGATGGATATCTAAACGTATTTTAAAGCAAAGGAGATCATTACGGCGCTGAAAACAAACTGTCTTTGAAATCTAAGCTGCTGAGAGAAACCTTCCATCTACATGCAGCTGATTTAGATATGTCAGTGTGTACGGAGATGAAAGGGCAGCAAGGTTAAGAGCTTTATGACTCTCTGCCTCGTTGTCTTCCACATCAACACTCTCTTTATCCCCGTCTCTCACACTTCGTCTCACTCCTTTCTTGTTCACTTTTAGTGTTTTTATTTACCGGTTTAAAATCGTCTCAGCACTGAACCCAGACTGCTTTTGTTACACCTCTTGTTTTATAAGAGTCATTGTTCACAGAAGATGTTGGCGCATCAGTTCCCTCTATTCCCGATTGTCTTCAATTGAAGATGGTTACGCATCTTTTCTCAGGTCAGGGATCTGTTTAAGCTGCAGAGATCCAATTCATTGCACACGAAACAATAATGGTAGTTGATCAGTTGTCTTTTTTTAAATAAGGGTGTACAACTTTTATTTCAGTTTGGCCAAAATTTGGCAACTTGGTGACAAAACATTTCATGGAAATGACAAACCCAAAACGTGACGGACCAATATGGCCATCAAATTACAATGTGTAAAAAAAGAATAAATACATGGAACACGTGCAGAGCATATTTAGTGAAAAATAATTAAATTATGACAAATGCAGAGAAATCTTTGATAACATCAGCATGACAGTAAGCAGCTACTGTACAGCATAGCTACGCTGACTAGACATAAATGAGACGTAGCCAATAGTTTCAGTCGGTGGAGAAACGTCTCGCTCTATTACACAGTACATCTTGTACAACAGCCGGCTTTTGCCTCCGTATAATGGCATTTTGAAATATAATAAGCAGGACCGCCTTCATCCATATACCGCAGTGATTTGTATGCTCTGTAACAGAGGGATTCGTCTTAAATCCTTCCAGTAATGTCAAGTTTTTGAAATGCTATTTGGTTCTTGAGTCCAAAGGGTCCGACGGCAAACACCTACAAGATGAATGTCCTCGACTCTGCAGGCCGAGGCCCCGAGTCCTCTGCTCGGCTTATCTTCCTTCACCTGAACTCCCTCTGTTGTCTCTGACCTCGTTCGTCTGTCTCATGAAGCGCCACCAAGTTCAGATGTGAAAGCTCTCTGCTCTGACGCCGCAGCCTCGGAGAAGCCAATGCGGAGTGCGTTAGCCGAGCTCCTCTGGGCTCTCCATCGTCTTTCCACGGGGCTCCCCACTGGCTTTTAGAGAAGGGCTAATGAAACCCTCTCTCTCTCCCCCCTTTCTGCATGACAAGGTGCGGAGGTCATCTGTCGTCTTTAGGAGGCCGTGCTCTCGCCCTCCCACGCTCTCGCCCTGTGCCGCTGCCTCGCCCTCCACTTCTTGAGCAGCAGACGGGTTCTCAAGGCGGCCCTGATTGCCAGAGGCGACACCCGCTTCTTGTTGCCGTTCCTCATCCTGTGTACACAGAGACGGAAAAACAGCCGGTCACCCAAACCATCCATTTCCCCAGGTTATGTCAAATGCGAGCCTCTAAAGCTGGCTGGACTTGAGCCATCAGTCACTCGCATTCAAACCGCCGAGCATGCCAAGTGTCATGCACAACACACTTTTAAGTGGTTTCAGCAGATTGTCGTTTGTTTTTCCCTCTTATTAATGTGTCAAAGTGCAGACGAATGGCGCCGCAGCTTTGAGAGGTTGAGTTTGCCACAGCAGCACTCGTGTACCATCATGTTCCAGAGAGCCCACATTACTCTCACTCCTAAGCGATGGAAAGTGATGCATTGAATTCTATTCGGCAATCCTAGAGGTTTTATAGAAGGCATTATTGTGCTCAGTCCTCATGTAGGGAATCCCTTGCTTGAGGGTTAATTTAGAAATTCCACGTGCTGCTTATTTTTAATCTCTGCAGGCTCACCATGATATATATATATATATATATATATATATATATATATATACACACACCCTGAGAGAGCCTCAGTGTTGCTTGAGTTTATAACTACAATGTACATTTATTGTTGCAAATACACTGAGATATTCCGCCTCCTTCAGTCTAAGCGGGTCGTTTTACCTCTTAATCCTGCCCGTGTCGGCTGCCAGCTCGTGTTTGCATTGCGCCCCTGCGCAACCAGCGCCCTGGGCAGAGCGGATCACCGTGTCTGGGGATGTTTCATACCTGCGAGCGCAGAAAAACACACACACGATGAGACCGGGATCCCATTTCATTTAAGCGTCCCACAGTTTCGACACACTCGCGGCGTCATTTAAGACGCGGAACTTGTTCCCACACGCGGGGAAAGGAGCACGAAAGCTCAGACTCGGGCCAATTCTAGTATCGCTGACAGTATCCGATAAACGGGTGGCGTGTTATTATTATTGTCTGCTCACGAGATGTTTGGGAAGCTGTGATGGAAATGCAAATGACTTGTCGTTACCTGAGGCGGGTTTCCAGCCGGCAGAAGTTTCTACACGCGATGTCGTTTTGGCGGAGACACTGGCAGCGCGAGTCCGAGACCGCGCGCTTCGTTCTGGGAGCGTTGCCCAGTCCGTACGAGACCACGCGCCTGGAATGCAAGCGTGACATAATTCAGGTTAAACACCTTATGAATGACTGGAATCTGATTGTTTAATGTTTATAAAGTAAAACGTCTCAAAAGCAAACTGTAAGCTACTTTAATTTCAGTTAAAATCTCCATCTTAATATTTGCTTATTAAACTTCTGTCCAATATTTCTAATAAGTAAATAATTAGCTCTCTTTGTTGTTGTGGCCCCAAATGAAGTGTCTCACTCTCAAGTATGTGTTGATGTTGACTTACTCGGGAGTGTTGACCCATATGATGTCCAGGTGGCAGAAGTAGACGCACTCGTTGTCCATGAAAGTGGCGCAGGAGCAGCGTTTGGTCCGCACATGTCGCCGCAGCTGGGTGTCGGTGGAGGCAGTGGGTGTCTCTCCAGCTGGCGCAGACTGCACTGTAATTGAATCATCGTTATCAAAACACCGCATTTTGTGTCCGCATAATTGCAGCAATAGTTTGTTTTGCTACTTTGCAGATACACGATTCACACTTTAACTGTAAAATAATGAAAGTAATATAGATGTTATGTGGCTAAAATGTATTGAAGCTACTGCACAGGTTAAATAGGTCAAATAAGTCGTTTGTCTGTCGGAGAAAAAAAAACATGCAAAAGTTACCTGCGCACATAATGCAGGAGTGCATCACTGACAACGCGGAAATCCAAATGTATACATCCATGACTGCAGGCTCTTCTAAAAATCTAAAATAATGTTGCTCAAGAAAATGAATAATTCTCCAGCAGTGGACAAAATAACCATCCAGTCAATCAATCCTACGCAAAATGTGTCGGGGATCGTCCTCAAGAGATTCCCGCAGGGAGCGCAGAGGCGTCAGTCTGGAGTCTCTCTGTCAATGTGGCCCCACATGTGCAGCCCTTTGACTTTATACAAGAGCGCGCACCCCCCTCCCCCCTCCCTCCTCCTGTAGTGTTGTCCTTTTGGCTCGTACCCAAACACTGGTGTTTGTTAGTGGTCGCGTAGACCAAGCTGAGGGCTTCTTGTGATGCAGCCTTGGTTACAGTTGGTGGATGGAGGAGACGCCGGCTGACTGAATGAGAGCTGCACTCTCACTGCACTCTGTTGGATGAGTTGCACTGCTGAGTCAGCAGGTGGCAGTCACGCGACAGGATGAGTGTCTCCGTTTTTACTGGAGAGCACTGAAGCACTGTGGAATGATGTAGGATCCGTGGAAATTATATATACTGAAAATGTATACTTGTACTTTTCCAGCAGTAGGAGTTTTTTTCTTTACGTGATAAAAAAGGGTCCAAACTGAACGAACACATGGTGGTGTCTTCTGTTATTCTTGCCTTTTGAAAACAAAGTACCATACTACAGTATGTACATCAAATATGCGCTGAAGTGAAAATAGAAGAAAGTGTACTAAAATACTTCCTTGTACATTTTCTTAATTACAACAATGAAGGTAATTCTCATAAGATATTTCATTCCATTCTAAGGCAGCGATCCTGTCACATGTTAAAGATTGAGATCCAGTCAAAGTGTACATGCTGCTGCAGACAGCTGCCTGGTAGAGGGGGGGGAGGGGGGGGGGAGTTTATTTAACTGCTTGAAATACAGATGTGTACAAATCAATATTTATAGTCTAGTGTTACTGATTGTGTGTTGTCTTACATCATAATATAAGGCCCTGTTTTCACTGTATCCTGTGTGCCACAGCTGCTGTTTTATTCATTGATGAATGATTACAGACTAAGTACAAACCAGGTCCCAAAGTGCAGGCTCAAAGT